AAAACAGCAACCATTTTATTATTTGCTCATGATTTTGCAACTTGAAGAGAGCTTGGTGAGGCAGCTCATTTCTGCTCTGCCCATCAACTGGCATAAACAGCTCATATGTCTGGGTTCTCAGTTCTTGCTGCCAGCTCAAGTTTGGTTCTCCTCTGCATGTCTTCTACATGTGGTTAGCTTGGTGGTCTCAGGTTGGTTGGATGAACATGACAGCTGTCTAAATGGAAGCTTCTAGTTTTGCCACATCCTGTGGATTAAAGATCAAAGGCCAGCCCAGATCAGAAAGGGGGACTACACAAGGGCATGAATATTAGATGTGGTCCTTTGGAGGACTCCAAATCAAGTCTGCTGCGCAAAGTTTCCTGGGCTGCTTCTGACTTTTGTACTTGGATGGATGGTGCTTCTATTAATAGAAATAGGAGTATACTTAAGAGTGTTGCTTCCATTAAAAAAAAATCATTGTATTCTGTAAGAAGAGTGATTATATTTCAAGTCTCTTCCTCAGAGTTGCTTTCACTGATTCTTCATACTGGATAAAATTCCTTTGTTATATGTTCCCAAGTTCCCCTTCATCTCCCGTTTGACATTCATCCCATTGGGGAACATTGTCTAAAGTTAGTTCCCCTTAAGATTTGACTTCCAGGAGCCTCGGTGATGGGTCTCACTTGTTCCTGACCCCCATTCTAAAAGCTCAGCTCACTTGGGACATAGTAAATTCTCCATCTTTGCTGAATTGAATTTCCTCTCAATCTTTTTCCAAATAAAAGGGTTTATTTTGACCAGTTGGGCTCTGGAGAACCCAACTGAACCATTTTTAAACCAAAACTTTCCTAAATATGGGCCATTGGGAACAAAGCCAGCAAGGAAATGGGATAACACCTGATTTCAGATGCTAAGTAGTTTTGATCTATCTGTACACTCACTGTAATATGCTGCAGCTGTGGTTATCTGATAGAAAACAAATACAGAATTGGTGATGCCACCAATGCTATTTATTGTTCTAAACACCAGTACTTCCACTGATGGAGGAGGGAAGACTGGGGCAGAGGTCAACAACTTCTCTAGTCTTCAGTGTCTCCAAGGGAGTCAGGCAATATGCTGTGCCCAAGTGTTACCGCAGACTCAAAGGGTCTGCTTGCCTGCGGGCAGCAAAGCCAAAAAAGACACAAGCAGGAGTTTACAGCAAAGAAAGTAAAGGGAGTTGGCACCAAGAGACATGGGTGGGCTAGTGCTCTCACAAACCTGGCTCTCCAATGGCCTCTAAGGTAGCTAGGTTGTAAAAGAGAAAAATCATTAATCATGGTTACTATGGGAGTTGGGGTTGTAGGCTCCACTGATTGGTGGGGGCTAAGGTAGGGAGTAGTTGATCATGGCTTCAGGTCTTGATGTCAGTTATGGCATTGTTTAGTCTGGTTTCCAGGGGATGCAATCCATGGTCATGAGTCTGGAGCTGAAACGTAACTGAGGCCAACGTGTTATCTTTGTTCAACTAAAACCTTATTCTGATTTGAGGTTTGGTTATTGTATCTTGGTCATGGTTGATAGAGCTGAAGCTTTATTCTTGAGTTTGACACTGACCAGAACCTAATGTCTTAAAGGCTTAACGCTTAAAAAGAGTGGTCATACAGTATATGTACAGGTAGGGGGGTCTGGGGGAAAGAATGCAGGTGAGTTATACTTCTCTCAGGCTCAACAAAGCCAGCTTGGACTAAAGCAGAATGAACGCTAAAGAAATGAAGTTCATGTGCTGTTCCACAAGGGTGAATAGGCAAAGGTAAGGTAAAAGAATGAAGGAAAAACATAAAGCCGTTTTTTTTAATGTAAAATCATTTAATTTCTTTCTCTGTTAAAATACACTCAGTCAGTCCAGATGCAGTAGATCAGGTGACCAGATTTTTCAGGATTCAGACCCCACCCAGAGCTGATTCCACCTGTGTCAAACCTGGCTCTGGTCACAGGACATTCACATCTTTAATTCCAAATACTGAGTGGGATGCAAATGATGTAATCAATATCTAACACATGGGTATATAGTTACTTGGTGGTCACTGCACGAGGTATCAACAATGCAGGCTCAAAAAATAACATGTATAGTAACCTGGCCTTTTCCCAAAACAAATACATCAGGACACTAAGCTTACACCTACATGAATCTAAAATGGATGCTAATTAAGTGCTAGCTCCTGTGAGGAACAGTGCATGCAGAGCCAACTTGCATATGTTGGCCAGTTGTAACAGAAAGCTTCTAGAATCCCGACAGTGCCTCCTTACAGAACCAGTCCTGAGTGGCAGGATGGAAATGAGAACACATGGCTTGGCCAGGCTGCTGGATCCCATGTTCCAATGAGGTTTAGAGCTCAGGGTAATTTCTAATAAGTTCCCAACAGGAAGCATAGCAGTGGCATTTTCCCTCGAGTCACATCTTCCAAGCTGGAGGTGATCGAGGAAGTTCAGAAGTTTTCTGGTTTGAAACGAACCCCAGGGTTGCTAATCTGGGGACATGGATTCCTTCAAGCTGCAGTGTCCTTTGCAGTGAGGCTTTTCATGCTTCCCTCCTCACTGCTGATCCTGCAGTGAAGAGAGCACTTCCATTCTAATGACTGAGAGCTTCAGTTTCCGCTTGAGCCTCAAGCCCTATTTCTCAGCCCTACTCCGATCACACGTCTCCAATCTGTACTGATGCTCATAGACACGGTCTAGAGCTGCAGCCAAGTTCTGACAGCAAGAATAAGCCTTACCACAAGAGTTTACATATGACCAGGAAACCTTCCAAAGGATGTAGGCAAGAGGAAGACGCTTATTTTTACCACCATCTAAAATATAACCCAGGAAATTATAGTTTAACAATATTCTGGTCCGTAACAAATAGATGAAACTATCCTTCAACTGAATGCAAATACCATTCCCTTGAGGAAAACCAGATGTGAATGTTGTGGTCTATTAGGTAATAAATAAAACAGTACCATCGGTGCTATAACAACAGACAATAGACCTGACATTTATTGGAGTTAGTTAGTATTGCCTCTATTTAGTATCATCACAGATAACTCATGTCTGCCATGAAATCCATAAGCTGTGTGACTACACTATTCATGGGCAGCTAGAGCAGGGTCTTTTAACTTGTCAAGTCAGTTTAATTATGGCGCATTTTCTAGCAGGGATTGGGGAGAAGAGAGCTTTGATTTTTATGTACACAGTAAAATCTTTCATAAGCCTGGCTCAAAGGCACATTTTACCATGTAAATCCCCTCAGTCACTCAGAGGGGATCAAGGAAGCTCCCAAAACCCAGGAGGATAGACATGGTTGGGTAGCAAAATCTGGCTATTCTGGAGCTGCTCCCCCTTCTCTACAGCTGAGCAGTTGTCCCCTACCAGCCACCAAAGCCCCACTCTTTATTTCTGGACCTATCTCCTGACCTGTGGAATGCCCACATGTTGAATCATCCTAGACACATCTGCCTGAATCATGGCTATGCATCCAAAGAAGAAATTCTACTTTGGAAATCAGTTTTCATGTACTTTCCTTCCAACAGGAATTTCACTTCCATCCTACAAAAAACATGGAGTGTAGACGACAGTCACCTACTGATCCTTCCAGGTTCAGATTCATGAAAATTTGGGCCACTCAATCCTGGTAGCTTGCCTCTGCAAGAAGGCCCAGAACCACATGGCCCAGGGAACATCTTACCCCCTTTCTTGTCACCAGTGGGAAGGGCTGCCTGTCTTTGAGGGACCTCTTGTTTTGTATACAGAATTGGTGTAGGGAAGATCTGATCTTGCTTTCTGAAGACCAGGAAAGTGTCCTGAGTGGATGCAGGACTGCCATAGATAGGATACAGGGTCACAGGATTGGGGGGTTAGGGGTATCCTTGGGAAATATTCTGCTTTACCAATCTGGCTAGAATCACCTGAGAAATAGGGATGACCTCACACTTTCTACTTGATAATCAGCCTATCATTTAGCTCTGCCATTACCAGTTGTGTGACCCAGGTCAATCATTCATCCTCTTGGGCCAATGTTCTCATTCATAAAAGCAGGAATAAGATATCTACTTCACAGAGCTATGAGGAGGCTAAAGTAAGAAAATACATGTGAGGGCCGGCCAAGTGGCGCGTTGGTCAGGAGTTGGCTTGGGATGCCAGCTCTGAGCATCAGGGCCTTGGTTCAGATCCTACATGAGGGCCAGTGATGCTGCGCCCTCTACAGCTAAGATGGTGAACAACAGCTCGACCTGGAGCTGAGCTGCCGTGAGTCGCCGGCAACGATGTAGGCTGTAGTGGGGCTGGCCGGCAGCTGGCATGAGCTTTTGTGAGCTGCCGTGAGCCGCTGTGAGTGGCCGTCCAATGGCCAGCGAGCGACTGCCTCACCCGGGAAGAACGCAATGATAATACCAACATGGGCCAGTGAAGCAACGTCCTCCTGAAGGACAAAAGGACAGACACTTGTCTGTTCCCCTTCCCCGATTCTCTAACACTGTTCCCCTCCCCCAATTCCCCAATAAAATCTTAAAAAAAAAATACATGTGAGAGTCCCTGCTTCATGCTAGGCACTCAGTAAACGCTGACTACATGAAAAAGCATCTCATATCACAAACTATAGGGCACTGGGTTAGATAAAGTGACTGCTGGGGCCAACCCCAGACCCTCATAGCCTGATTAGCTGGCAGTGCCTCCTCTTAGGTCTGACCGCTGTACCTTTGTGGGGTGTAGGGATTCAGCTAAAGTGGGTGGCTGAAAGGGAAAATGACAAAAAGAACACTCTTTGGGTTCTACGATGGACTGGTGAACTTGCACTAAGTGTTACATTTTACCTTCAGTCCTGGCCCCTGCTTCCTTCTAATAAATTGTCCATTGAACTGTTTCACTCAATAGCTTTTAATTTCTAGACCCTCTGCCAGGGAGGGAGGGTTAAGGAAGTAAAAGAACTCAAATCAGGCAGTTAGCTAATGCTAGGAACTGTGAATACAGATCACGCAAATAGAAAACTATTGAGTGTAGTAGTGTACATTTCTCCACATTCCCCTTAGAACATGGAAATATGAGTAGGAACATGTTCCAAAGGCAGAGTCCTGGGGGAGGTGACGACTCTCATGAAGGGAGAGGTATAATTCTTGGTGCATATTGTAAACAATGAGTATCAAGCTGCTTTGGCTATGCCTAGGAATGACTGGGTATTGAGACTTCAGTGAAGAAGGGAAGAAAGGAAACATGGATGTGCTCTGGGATGCCCTACATTCCTAGAGGCAGGGCAAGGATGGAGCAGGGAGGGGTTGAATCCAACATTTGCCATTAATTCAGCTTAGATGAACTGTTCCTGGCCCCTGGAGCTCATGCCCAGGAAGGAGTCTGTGATGACAAGCATGGCTCCATGCTCAAGCGCCTTCAACTCTGCCCACCAAACAAAGTTAGCAAATTGTAAAATGTTCATTTCCTAATTTTGTATTATAAAATGGAATTAGGAACATAAGCAGTAATAAGTAGCAAAACCCCAACACTGTGTAGGACTATCATCCTCTCAGCCACCTCTGCGTAGGCCAATAAGTTTGGAAAGTTTTTCACAGTTTTCAAGTTTCAATGACTCTGCTTTCTGTTTCAGTCGTTCATCTCTGTATAATCCTGCCAAATTTGTTAACTCCGACTCTGCAAGATAAAAGAGGTAACCAATTAATCATGAGAGTTGCACTCCTTTGCTTCATTTCAATATTTCTGGACTCAAAGCTCCTTTATTTAATGATTTTTCTTTCAATTAAATTTAAGGAACTCATTTATTCAAGAAAAATGTATCAGGCAGCTACACCAGGTGCTAAGGATTAAAGGACACCTGTGGTCCTGGAGTCCTACAGTATCTGCGCTCTCTTCTAAAAGCACCAGCCTTACTTAGTTCTTATCAGTAGAACATTTGGCACCAGACTTAGGAAGCCTGCACATGTGCAGAAAGAGGAGACTGTTCCACAGTCTTCCTACAAATGGTATTCAGATGGCAGTTGGGAGAGAATGGAGTCCAATCGCCTGTTCCCAACATCTGAAACAAAGACAGCTGCTTCATTCTTTCCTCTGTGTTGCTCGGTCATAACTCATACATGCTAGGTGACACAGAGCCTACTTCCGGTGGGTATGCCTTCTGCAGAAGGGCAGGTTGCCGGCAGCTTTCTTCATTCCCTCACCACATGTGGGGTCCTTAACTCAAAGGCCAAAGGTAGCTGGGCTCTATTAAAAGTGAAGTCATCTGGATCCAGTGACCTTTGTCTCCTTGACTAAATGAATTTCATTCTTTCTTCATGGTGGAGAAGGTCATTCTATTTTTAACCAGAATGTAATCTCTGCTGTCTTCCCCGACTCAGCGATGGTTGGCTGCCTCTATTTTTTATTCTTCTGTAAAGTTTCAGGGACAGTCTTAGGAGGGAAGGCTTGAAAAGCACCCCCAGAGACGTGCTGTGTATTAACATGATGGCATGCTTGGATGGGCTATGTGGCCTCTAAAAGCCTCCAACAGCCGGCAGCAACTCATTGTTTAAAGGATCATACTTGTGAAAATGCTATTTTAATCATTAAGAAATATGTCTATCCATTTTTAATCATCTTGCTGACAGAAGGTTCTCTTGGCGGAATGAGAGGCACCTGTCAGATTAATCAGCAAACTGCCTGAAAACAAGAATTGAAACAGGGAACAATGGGCATTGGTTTCTGAATAAGTTTGTCGACACGAAACACTGTCTGGCATTTCTGCTCACAATGATTCTATTTACATCAAGTAAGGCCCACAGTGCAGATTAAGTGCAGGACTCCAGGGTGAGGGGTGCATATGCATAAAACCCCTCCCTCTACAACGGGGGCTCAGCGCCTGGGCCCTAGCCCAGCAGCTGCTTGGCGAGCAGCAGGTCTCCTAGGCTCCGGAACAACATGCTCTTGTCCCTTGGCCTGGGTGCCTGCAGTGCCTGCTGGCCAGAGCTCGCCTTGGCACAGTCAGCCTTGCAGGTGATGGGACTTCATGGCGGATCAGGTGCCACACCCCGGTGAAAGCCCTCTGTGCCTGTGTCCTGCCCAGAGTGTCCCACTAACTCCATTTCTCTGGCTTCTCTGGCATGTGAGAAAGCTGTGCAGGAGGCCTCTACAAAATCAGTCTATCCCTTTGGTTCTCTGGAAGCAGTTATGGAAAAGATTCTGTGGCGTTGCTTTTCCTTGAAATGATTTCTTTAGGGTTTTTTTTTTCCTTCTCATGATTTATTTTATTTTTTTATTTCTTTAGGTTATTTTGCTTACCAGGCTTGTCTAAATGCCTCATTGCCTGAAATCTCATTCCAGACAACATTAAGATAGTGATTTTTACTATTTTCTACGTTGAAGACCACTGTAACAAGCTGATGAAAGATAACTGCACATATATGAATGCTTTTGTCAAAACATCACATTACTTTTCATAAAGTTCATTGAAACCAGGTTTCAATGCTCTAGAGACTGACACCCTGCTCCAGAGCAATGACCTTGCACAAGGTCAATATTTCAAGGAACCATGGCCCACACCCCCACTACCATGCTTAGAGGAACTTCTCTCCCAACTGGCAGTGAGTCCTTTTGCTCTTCAGTGAAGCTTTTTAAAAGGTCAACTCAATGAAAATGTTACTTTTGACAAGTTCTGTTAATATTCAATAACTTCTAAGAGAAAAAAAAAATCTTTGAGAGTACAGGATCAAGAGAACATCTTTTCTTCTTTGCAAAATGTTTCTTTTGTCCTGAATTCCAGTATATCAGATGGACAGAGAATTGAGCCTTTGAGGTAAACTGACTCAGGCAAATTGCCAAGAGAAGCAAGTCCCAGAGCCTCTCCCAAGTACACTCTGCACTGTTCAGAGTCTTGACATTTGTAAGACCCCAACAGATCCCAGCCATCCGTATGATCCAGCCCCATGAGATTATGCTGTATCCAGTCCATCAAGGCCTGCACTCTACCAGGTACCAGGCACTTAGTATGTGCCAGACACCATGTTAAGCGTTAGACCCTTACCATCGTCTATGATCCACACAACCTCTCTAGAAGAAAGTTCATTTATCCTCATTTCAAAGCTTACGCTTCTTCCCACTCTGCTACCCGCTCCAGGCCATGGAAAGGAGTGCTCCTTTTTCAGGCAGGGCAAGGATCTCAGCTCCCCTTGCCAGGCCAGGAGGCAGTTCCTGCCCATTACTTTTGTCCAGCCCAGTGGCATGGCCACTTCCCCTGGCATCAGGTTTGTTATCTATTAGATGCAGCTAGGGAGGAGAAAACAGGGCAATCAGTGTTCATAGGAAGGGATTACTCATAGAAGCTCACACAGAATAAGCATTCTAAGGAAGAGCAGAGAAAAGAAACGAACAAAACATTTTGAAAGACAATGGCTAACTTTGCTAAAAACAGTTTCCATTCGGTATTTTGCCAAGAGTGAACTTGGTTCTCAAGTGGGTTTATTTTTACAACCTCCAAGTGCTAAATTTAACCTTGTTGGCTGCACTTGCTGTTGGATCCAGAGGGCAGATGCTGCTTGTTCTCAAATGGCACTTGGGTTGTGTGGAGGCTCCGGACAGCCACCATCCTTAAATGCCAGAAATAGATTTTTAAGGGGTGTGTGCTGATAATCCACCATTTGGAACTTATGGGTACATGCACCCACAAGTTTACTTACTGGAGTTTTATTCATACCTGGAGAGTGCCAAAGCCCTGAAACTGGGCCTCATGGGGATGGGACAAAAGCCCAGAAGTCACGTTAGGTGCAATCCTTATCATGAGCTGTTCGCATAGTCCAGCTGGGGTATGTGTGTGGGTGGGTGTGTGTCTGAAGAATGTGAAATGCAGATCATACAGTTCTTATAGAAAGCAACAAATTCAAAACCCTCCCATAAGACCAAAACAACAGGGGACTTTTAGGACACACACTGGGGCCTTCACCTGATTTGAATCCACGAATATATTGCCTTATAGGCCTTTATCTTGCTCCAAATTCTTTCCTAATTTTGGAAAACTTGCAAAACCTAGTTTAACATGAGGTAGCATACTTCCTGACCCCTCGGATTTTTCAATAAAAAGCAACTTCCTCCTCCTGCTTAATTCCCTTTACATCCCAGAATTGTTGCCCACCACCTAATGCACCTGAGAGTTCAGCTGGGCTTTGCCCTACAGAAGTAGAGAGCAGAGACCAGGTCCCTAAGGGCTCGGGTTAGGACACTAACCCTGCTGTGTGATTGCTAGTCCTCAGCATTTCCATTGTTTTCCAGTCCTGAGAATCCTCTCTTCAAAAGACTTGAGCACCTCTTCTGAGGCAAGGACTATGCCAGGCACCTGTGACACAAAATTCCTAAAACATGGTTCTTTTCCTCAGAGAGCCCACAGTCCAGCACCGAGACTGACATGTACCCATGGAACGCTAATACTATGAGAGCAGTACTGTGTTAGCAGGATGAACAAAGTGCTTTAAGAACACAGAGGGAAGGCGAGATTAACTTGGGGGTGGGGCTGGGATACGTGATGGGTCAGCAAGGGCTTAGCAGCACTGACTGCAGAGCTAATTTTATCAGACACTTTTAGATGTTTAATAATACCCAGTATAAGGTTTTAAAAAATGTATTAGAGTTTGCTTTTTAAAACTTAACCAAAGCCAAATTTTATAACATACAGTTACTATTGGTGTGTGTGTATACGTGTGTGTGTGTGTATGTGGAATTCAGTGGGATGAAAGGTGAATGTATTGGCTGAAAGTACTACCCTTGCTATTAGGACTCCTGATTAACACTCACTAGCACTGTAAGCCACGTGGCAGACACTGTTACCCCATTGTCTCCAGAGAAGGAAATAGAGTAGAAGGCCTGCTCATACCCATCTGTGCTGGAGGAGCAGACTCAAAGAGGGTCACGTCTGTTCAGTGTGGTCAAAACCAACTGGATAGGAAGTGAGGGACACAGGACTCAATACCAATAACCTACAAACCTCTGGTCTGGCTCAAGAAGTTAGATTGGATCCATCGGATTTCCCTCTAGGGCAATGTGAAATTAGGAAATTGGACCAAACCAGCTAGCAATTAGAAGTTACAGAGGAAGCTGGTGATATAGAAGGGGGCCAACGACTGGTGGGGTTGGGGAAATTGGAATAGTGACTAGGAAGGTAGCAACCAAAACAAACTATGGCAAAATAAGGTTATGGAGGAGAGCTTGAAGAAACCAAGGAAGGCAGTTGGCAGAGAGAGGAGATGAGGGCAGATGGGCAGCAAGAGGCAAAGACTCAGAGACAGACAGACAGATAGGCAATTAGTGCTGCCTGCCTAAGTTCCTAAGATTTCCAAGTCCTGGCCACATGTGTCCTGTCAATAAACTTTCCTTTTTTTTTTATAGTATCCTGAATGGGCCTCTGTCCTCTCTGTTCACATAAACACGTGCGACTCCAACAAGGAGGGACGAGGGATCAGGAAGCTGGGGATGCCTCCGGTTGGAGGCACTACCACCAGCTGAAACCCTTTTTAGAGCATCTTACTTTGTTGTTTCTCCTTCCAACAACTCGTCTGTATGTAATCAATGTAGTCCTTCTCTATCGTCTTCTCCAGGTCACGCAGAGATGCTCCCCTGTAGGCCTTGTCAAAGTTTTTATCCACAAAGTAAGGCACCTGCAGGTTCTGGGTTTCTCTAGAAACGGTGTAGCCCAGGGCCCTGAAACAAGGAGAGAGAGAGGCTCAGGTAAGCTTGTCATATTTGGCAATATCACTCTTAACAATGGCCTCACATATATCATGATCACAATCACCTCTCTTCATAGGGTACATCAGATACCATCTAATGCACCTACTATTTATTATTTCTCTAGCAAAGCAGTAAGTATCATGTCATAATTGCTATTCTTTGAGCATGTTCATACTGTGGATTTGGCCTCAGCACAAGTTACTTTATTCTCTTAAAGGAGTCACCTCTCTTATTCTGCTTTCTAAGCTAAAAGTAGAATGCTGATGATTAAAAAAACTATTTGTATATTGTGTAGGACCTAGCATGGTACCTGGCATAGAGTAGGCTATTGGTAAATGCTGGTTGAATGAGCTGATTGTTACAGTAAACTATTTGCACGTGACCAGATGACTTACACCAACCTAGCATCAATCCTTAGGACACAATAAGAAGTACTTCACACATAGCTGCTAAGTGAGAACTGCAGAAAAACACAGACAAAAGATTTCAATGATGCTTCCTAGCTAACTCTCTGTGCATCTAAGATAGCCAGTGGTATTTGGGAATCAGAAACATTGACATGTCTGGGTTAACTAAATTCTAACCATAGGGAATTATAGAAGGGAGCTCAAATTCAAGTTAAAACAATGTGACAGCAATGTGAAAAATGCAAGCTGATTTATTCCAACTGGACAAATTCCATCTCAAATCAGTTATACTTGACCTCTTTTCAGCCTTCTCCTTTGATCTCTCGACTTAAGGATCTTGCTGAATGTCTAAGAGATCAGGCTATGACTGCTCCCACCTTCCTTTGGGAAGGTGTTAGCAGGTTCCTTACTGCCACCACTGGCCTGACAAGAAAGGAGGTAGCAGGAGCAGATGGGGAAAATTGGGAAGTTAGGAAATAGAAGGAATCAGGCCAGTGTGAAGTGATAGCAATAACCTCTCTCTGGGTCTCAGATTTCCTCTCTGCAAAATAAAGATATTGACCTAGAATGATAGTCTTCAGTCTGCAGTGATCACCAACAAAGACTCTTGTGTTATGTATTGGCCCATGGACTCCATATTTTGTAAAGTTTCTGTCTACTAAACTATAACAATGAGTAATGACTAATTTGTCATTATTAATTTAAAAGATAATGATTCTTAAACTTTAGTGTAGACCAGAATAATCTGGAGGGCTTGTTAAAACTCAGATTGCTGGTTCTCATCCTCAGAGTTTCTCATTCACTAGATACAGAATGAGGCCTAAGAGTTTACATTTCTAACATGCTGCCATTTGATGCTGATGATGCTGGTCTGGGGACCAAGCTTTGAGAATTGAATTAATTGAAGAAATAAAAAAATTCCTATCAGAGGTCATAATCTACAGACATTAAAATGAATTTCTATATTTTCAGCAAAAGCAAAGACATGTGATACTATGGTTTGACTATGTAGCCTTATCATGAATAAATGTCCTCTTCTTGCAATTTCTTAAACTGAAAATAATCACTGGATCTCAGTTACTATGTTCCCAGACCTACCAGGAGTCCAGCGATCCTATCGCAAGCTCAATAAGGTCCTTTCTAACTCGATCATCGTGTGATAAGGATTTCATCTGAACCTGGAGTTATTCTATTAATCTTTTAGAAACTAGTTGCCATTCTGCAACTGACCGGATGATGTCGCTGTCGCTGTAGAACAGAACAACCCGTATCCTGAGCACATAGGAAACTGCCCACATTAGTTTTGAGTCTCTGCACTATTACTATCCAGCTGTTCTTTTAAACACAAAATTAGTGTTTTCTACAACAAAAGGTGAAATGAAATGTTAGTAAGATATGGGCAAAGCCTGAAAGTCTTTCATCCTTCAGATTGTTGTTTCAATTTATAAATATTTGACTTACGATTTGTAGAATAGACTATACGGGGGGTTAGCAGCTAGCAGCTGAGTAATGACAGATATAATCACAATCACAAGAACTGGAAGTAACTGAATAAATGCAGAATAAGTAGTCTGAAAAAGAAAAAAGTATTTGGTGTAAGTGTTGTTCATCAATATGAAGCTTAAAGAACATAGGATTGTTTTCCCAAAGAAAATACAAATTACCAATACAGTGCACAAAGCCCAAGGCTTTTCTGGAAGGCTGTACTTTCTGCTGAGAGGTACCAGAAAACTCTGTTCTCTCTGCTGAGAAAGCCAAAGGAGGCCCACCCACAACCTGGACTGACACCCAGTAATTCTCTTGCAGTCCCCTTTTCTAAGACCAATGAAGCAGACACCTCTGGGTGAGTCTGCCCAGACTATGACTCTCAGGGGACCGTGTTAGTATTATGCAACTTTGTTGCCTTGGTCACAGCTAAACAGACTCAGGGACATCTAACCCGAGCAGGGATAATCACATTCTTCCCCCCTAGAAATTTGGGATTGAGATTTGTCACTGTTCACTGCTAGGCAGTCATTTGAAGAAAGGACAGATACTCTTAGGCACTGCAGATTGGCCATTTGCAAGGGGAAGTAGAACAAGCCAGGCTGCAGAGAGGCGAGAAAATCTGGCCTCAACTAGTCATGGAGAACACAGCTGTGTGGGTGCCTGACAGCACCCCAGTTCCTGATTCTCATCTGTCATGAGGTCCAGCTGTGCTTCCTTTGAGCTTCATAAGACCCCCTTGATCCCTTATTTTAACCCCCCTTTAGTTCTGAATATATTGAAGTGGGTTCCCATTTTATTCAGTCAAGAAAACCTTGATCAAGACAGCCCACAGGGGAAATGATTTACTGAGACAGCCACCAAAGAACGGGGCGAGCAGTGGAGGGGGTACCATTCTGGCCTATTTAGGCCCATTATCCAGCTCTTCTTACTACTGCCTCTGCTTAACTAAAGCACATTTTAGTAACATATTTCAGGTTGAACTTCTAAAACCTGACCAGACACCATAAAGGCTAGCTCAGAACAAGTGTTTATGGGCAGCAGTTCTCCTGTCCTCGCTAGGTACCTGAGGTTTTTCTTCTTCCTCCTCCTTCTGTGCCTGCATCCTCTCATGTCGGTGCCGCTGGCGGTAATAGTGGGTATCATCAGTCACATTTGAAAACATATGAATATTTCCTGGAAAAGAAAGAAAAACCCTTGGTATGCGATGCGGCAGACTTTCCTTCCTTGCCTTTTCCAAGGTCCTTCTCTGAGGGCAGAGTACTGTCCCTTACCCAGTAGAAAAATAAAGCAGTAGGTAAGCCAAATGAAGCTGGAAATGGAATATGTATAGCTCTCCTGCCTTTATTTAAATAGTCTGTAACCAGTGAGTGAGAGAACACAAAAAAACTAGTAAAGAACGCTTTGGGGGCCGGCCGAGTTGGTTAAGAGCTGGCTTGGGATGCCAGAGGGCCCCGGTTCGGATCCCACATATGAGGGCCAGTGACACTGCCCTCTACAGCTAAGATGCTGA